AAATATGGGAACATATTAATTAGCAATTTTAAAGCTGCAAAGCAAGTATCCGTCTGATGAAAACCCGAGAGCTTTAACTCGAGGACTTTTGTCCGGGGGGACTACTCTGAGCGAATATAATTACTTACGTCAAAATATTTGCATATACAGTTCGGGAAAATTTATCACCAGTTAGACTTAAAAATATTGTATGACACAAAATTGGTAAAACAAAAAAACAAGGGTTAATTGAGATTGCTTAATAATAAGCTGTATTCTGTTCATAAATACTCAATATACTTATTTTCTTCATTAAAATATTTCTATTATAATCCTTCCTTTTCCTTGCTAAAGCTCAGAAGGTAAAATTTCATTACAATCAAAATCTATTGAAACTTTTAACGCAAGGCGTGACAGAAGTTCAATAAATATTTAATAAGTATTCCTGTAGTACAACTACAAGTTCTATTATTAAAAGTCAGCTAAGCTTCCTGACAAAACATGTCTCCTTATTGCCCAACTTTAACAAAACTAATTTTAACGAAATATTGCCTACTGGTAGAAGGTAATTAAAAAAGTTTGGTCACTGTCATCAGGGACATAATTATTGCTCCATTAATCATATTGCTATCTACCTTAAAATAATCTGCTTCGTACTTTACATTTAAATAACTATTTTGAATAAATAAATTATCGCCAAAGGTCACTTCATGATGTTGTATTCAAATTACACAATTTTATAACATCTTTCTCTGAGCTAAACGAAACAGGAATTGTAATGCTTCTCGACCCATTCAGAGCTTTCGATCGCGTGTCACACGATATTCTTCCAAAAAACTGTCTGTAAATAACATTGGTAAAAGAAGTTGCAATCTATTAAAAGCCTGTTTAGTAAACCGAGAATAAATCGCAAAATTCAAAGTTAAATTTCTAGGACCCTTACTTTTTTAAATTCTCGTGGACGATTGATCTTGATCCATTATTTAGAATTCCGTATTGTAAGCAAAGGATACTTATTTCTAAATAAAATAATACTTACAGTAATCAATAAGACACGAAGTTAATTGTTACAAGTCCGTAAGGTTTTTTTTTAAGTATTTTAAACTCTTCTAAAGTTTTCCGCAACTACAATTTACTCAGTTTTGTTCTTTCTTTCTTTGTTCAAATTTTTGCTGCGGAAGCAATTTAGCGGAAACTGTTTTAATAAATGGGATTATTGATTGATTGAGTTTTTCAATATTGTCCACGTTATGGCCGCTTTAATGTAAAATGTGTGTTGGGATTTCCATAATGTTTGTTCGGCAGTGTGGGATTACACATGGCTTTAATAAATGAAAACGGTGTTCAATATTCAATATCTCACCCAGACAGCATGCCATGAAAAAATGGTGTATGCGCCGGGATAATTCTCCGAAGTTCCAATTAATTTTGTGTTCAGACAATAAAAGAGCAGAGAGGTTTCATTGTTATTGTGCCCTTTGTTTGCTTGTTCCCCACAATAATAATAATGAGAGAAATGTATAAATTAATTCATAGACAAATTATCGACTGAGTTTGGTCGTTATTGTACTGTAATGTAAAGGACGGGAATGGGAGAAATTATATGCGATCAGATTGCAGTGGAAAGCATTAACTCCAACTTAACAAACACCGGATACAAGCTAATGGTACAGTTCATCAATACAGTAACCGAGCAATATTTGAAAATCATGACGTAAGAATAATATTTACTCGTTTTGTGTTTTTATTCAGAAAATACGACGACCTCATTATTTTAATGACTGTTTCAGAAGCTGGAATAAATTAATTTTTTTAATTGATGTAGGACTGAAAAACAAATACGAACAATTTTGGTTGAAAATACAAAAATTGTCACAGTCGGAAAAAAGTCGACGACGTCACACCATTGATTTTGTTCATGAAAAATTCACAGTGTTGTCCTTAAAATGTGTTTGCGTGATATTTTTTGTGACCTTTGTTTTACACCATACAAACTTTAAAAAATGAGTTTTTTAACACAATTTTGATCAGGAGTCATTTGTTTAATATGCAAGCATGTTTTTTATATTTTTATTTATTCGTTGTTTGTTTTAGCACAATCATATATATTTCTTTCTTTATGTTATTTATCGTAATATATGCAAAACAATTCATATTACTAAAACATGAATAAAACATTTACTAAAATTTCTTTGTTTCGCCTATTATAATGATTTTTTTGTGACAAAATGAATGATAATATATTACAAATAAGTGATGAATAAATGATATAAGTTTTGAAACACAGCAATATATATGTAAATAAGGATAGCAGTTCGTGATATACTGAAATAAAATCAATAATTCGAAAAGTGATGTTTAACAGAAACGTTTGAACAAGAAAATTAATTTCCCTAAAGGCGCGTCATTTATTCGTTCTTCGTTCTTAGTTCTTACGACATATGTATTTTATTTAAATGGATTTCTTAACTTTCAATATAAAAAAAGGAAAGAAATAATTACCATACATCTTTGCTTTTCCATGTAATAATATTACGAAAACTGAGAAATTAAAATTAATTGTGTAAGCACAAAATCAAACAAACGTCCTTTAAAATAAAAAATAATAAGTCAAAAAGTTTTTGAATTTTAACTGATAATTATCTTTTTGGGTGCCACACTGTTAATAACTAAGTCAATTAATAAAATCAGCAAATCAATTAACTGTTAGTAGTCTAATAGTTTCTGAAAAATCAAAATACTTTAAAAAAATCTACCTGATTATTTGACTGACAAATATTATTAAGAAAAATCATACAATTTTTTATATTGTTATTGGTTATTCAGATAACATTATCAAACACTGCTTCTAGGTTGAGATTTTCAAATAATGACAATATTAATAGTTGTCATGTGATCAAATCCAACAAATCAAATCTATAGAAGCTGGTTATCCATGAAAACACGTTAATTTTTAATGTGGTTTCTATAAACTGACGTAGGTTTATAGATTGCGAATAAAATATTAATGCGCCATTAAATTTACTGGTGCATTGCGATTGAGTCTTGAGGATTTGATTTGTTGACTTTGATCGCATGATTAACTTAACAACTATAAACCGGTTTAAATCTTTAATGTAATGCGGTATTTTGTTAATCTATGTGCAAGCTTAAATATCTGGGGCATGATTTAGTACAACTTTGATGATATTAAATGGATTTATTGCAAAACTATTAAAATTAAATCATGCATATAAAACATTGGTAATATTATTGAATGTATTTAAATCCTGTAAACCATTTTATTGAATGGGAAAGATATGCCGAACCAAGTATAAAAAAATTCTCCACGTTATTACCGCAAGGAAATGAATATCACATAATTCGCACCAATGTGTTTCGAGGTTAAGGTGAACCCTCACTTGGGCATTCACACATGCGCAAACAATGTGTACCTTATTATTTTAATGTCTAATCTCTAGCTTAACACTCTTTTTAAAATTTTAATACCACAGTTAACTCTAAATATTTACATATTTTTTGATAGTGCTTCCAGTGGGTACTTAAATTATATTGTGATGAGTCAAAAATATTGATTTAATTATACGAAGGATAAACAACTCATGGACATACACAGTAATTGTTAATGATAGACGCTCACAAATGGAATAAAAAATGCATAAATAAATCTGAAAACTGAAATATAGTGAATAATAAAATTGTATACAATAACACACGAATCATAGACATTTACAAAAAAAAAATACTTATTTCGGAGTAACTTTTTTTTATTTTGAAATATACTACGATTAATTTAATAAATTCAATAACGTCAAAACCAATAATATGAAAACTAAATGCTCTAACAAGTAAACTGCTACTTCTTTCTTTATTTCTCAAGTTGTAAACTTTTACAACTTGAAGAAAACAAATGATCGAACTTTTTGATTGGACTTTGTAAGACATTAATGGGTCTTTGTAAATGTTGCTGTTCAAAGTGCCTACGTATTTTAAAGAATGAAAAATAATAATATACCTAAGTACAAAAATTGGGCTAAACAGAAGTACAAAATTTGACGAAATCTGTACCTAGTTATTTATGGATTTCAGCATTGCCCCTACGGATTAATTTTTTTAGTTTAGTTATTTTAAGATTATTGCATAGATTTTTAAAATATTTGAAAGTTAAAATTTTAGATAAAATGATTGACGTACAAATTTTATTCTTTCTTTGAACATGAATATAAAATGTTGGGAAACTTCGACCTAAAAAGATAAATTTAAAAAATGTAAAAGCATCCTAAATCACTCTTAAAATTTAGCCCACGCTAAAAAACGTTTGACCTTTGCTTGTATGCTCTTAATTTTATTTAATTTAATGAAAATCAATAAATGGATGAAAAAGGGAAATAAAATATCAATAATAAAACATTTAGAAAGAAAGACATAGTACGAGGGTTTTATTTTGAAACAAAATAAATTAGTGAGAGCGAGAGCATCTGAAAAACACAAATTACATCTCCCGTGACACCCAATACCAAAATTAAATTTTTCACGTTATCGGAAAAGCGACGTTCTCTCTAAAATAAGAAGCAAAAACCCTTGAGGATCTCGTGTAAAATATAAATTGATTTCTCTCTCGAGTTGCATTATTAAAAATTCTGTTTTGACAGGAAAAGACGGGTCAATATGAAGTCGGAAAGTCTCTTAGTGTCATCTTTAAAGCGTGATTGCCGATTTCATTCCACATCCGACATTCAGCCTTCGACTGCAAAGCTCTCTCGAGTGGAGATATTTCGTAATAGAAAATTTTCACGTTAAATGACTTTCCTCATTTGAAGCGATGAAATACGGCTCTAATAAAAGCGAATCAAATTATTAATGCAAGACAGTTTCAAGTTCGTTCCTTAGCAGCTGTATAAGCCGGACGAATGTCAGGAAATTCGCGGAAATCGTATTTGAGTGGGTGCAGAAATCGGTTCCGTGTTTTCCGCAACCTCAAGAACCCCTTGACCCTACTCGGAAAACATTAAATTGTATACCTGCTAGTGTCCGTGTTTCAGCACTGGAAAACTCGTCACTCTACGGGAATTTTCACTGGGAAGCTGTCGCTGAAACGCTTTTATCCACCAAACTAGCGAAACCGATATTTTCCAGTGGAACAGTGACGGCGCGCATGCGACATTTTATAAGCTTTTCATACACACTGTTACGGACAAACCGATTCAGGCAAAACAATGGGAATTGGATTTCTTCGTGAATGGGGACAAAAGCGACTGCGATAATGCTTTCCTTTTTATCGGCCTAATTCGGTTATTCCGACCCCGATAAAATAAAACACACAAAGGAAATCGATTTTTTTATTACTTAAATTCTTAAAATTACAAAAATATTACGGTAAGTCTTAAATTCTATCCAGCGCCTCCAACATGACGATGCTGTTGCCGCGAATCACCTGCAAACAAACATAACCTCAAAATTTTTGTTTTTATTGGATGTAAGAAACTTACCACCATGCCGATGTTATTTTTTTTACCATCCCGACATTCCTCAACGCTTTCGTCCACTACGAGATTCATGAAGGGGTCGAAACCTCGCAGAATTCCGACGACCTGCCGGCCCCCGTTCAATTTTAAGCATAGCTTTTTATCCATAAATCTAAGACAAAAAAGGTAAAATGTGGATTATTGATGCACAAAACTTACTTTTTTAACTCTGGCGGGTGAGCTTTCGACATTTTTTATTTTTTGGTATTTTGAAAAACGCTTCCGATTTCCAAACGTTGCTTGTGACACTTGACAGACAGGTTTGACAGTTGACGTGATCGCGTCCTGTAGTAAGCGGTGCTTTGGAATGCTACCAACTCAAATAATGTTATAAATAAATGCAAAAGGTGAGCTGTTTTTTGTACATACATTTAAATCTTCACTTTCTTTCTAATCAACTATTGAGAAGTACAGAATTTAATTTTTTGTTTTTCGCTGTTACCAAAGCCAGTGGCGTAGTGTGTATTTTATCATGTGACTGAATCATAACTACATACACGTGTTACAAAAGTTTACCATTTTAAACGCATTTTAAGTTTCTAAGAATAAAAAAATATCATCACAATTGGGAGGGTGGGCGGGGTTTATATATATGTGTAGACGTGCAAAATTGCAAAATCCATATTTCCTTGCAAAAATTTACCGTTTTAACTATGTTTTAAGTTTCTTGTTGTGAAAAAATGGCTATGTATATTAAGAAAAAAAAGGCAAAATATAAGCCCCGCCCACCCACCCCCCTATCTCAATTCTGATGTTTGTTTATTCGTCGTGAGCCAAGGGGGCGGGAATTAATATATTTTGTCCATTTTTTCTTAATATATGAAGTTTTTTTTCCTAACAAGAAACTGACAACATGTTTAACTATTTTGTTGTTGAAAGAAAACTATACATTAAAAAAAAATTAAGCCCCACCCACCCGCCCCATCTCAATTGTGATGAATTTTTCATTCCTAATCAGACCGAAGGGCGGAATTTAACTGCAAAATCCTCATTTCTCTACAAGAAATTATCATATGAAATATGTTTTTACATCAATATTTCTCTGAAAAATTCTACATTTTTAAAAACAATTCACATGGCAATTTCTTGTAGAGAAATCAGGATATTTCAAATTAAATTTCGCCCTTCAGCCCACGATGAATAAAGCATTCATCACAATTGAGAAGGGGTGGGTAGGCGGGGTTTATATTTTGTCCATTTTTTTCTTAATATCCGAAGTCTTCTTTTCCCAACAAGAAACTGACATGTTTAACTATCCTGTTGTTGAAAGAAAAGTCTATATACAGCCTGTTATTGAAAGGTACGTACAAAATAAAACCGGCAATTGGTCTCGAAATATGGGTGCTAAAAATTAAAAAAAGTTCAGGTAAAAGTGTTCTCCTTTTAGAGATAAAAATTATTAAAATTTATGTCCAAATTCGTTGTACGCCTCTGATAAAAAGATCATCTTTCGTTTCTATAGCAACATTCAGTCTTGACAAAAGTTTTATTGTTACAGTTGCTAGGATTTACTAAAATAAATTAATTTTACCTATTTATCCTTCAGTAGCGTCTAAAAAGGTTGGATAAGGGTTAACTTTCCCCTTATAATTTTAATAACACAAAATAAGTTTTTCCGACTTCTTAGACTTCGCGAAGAACTGTCCATTTTGTTGTACGTACCTTTCAATAACACCCTGTATATATATAAAAAAAACAACAAAAATTAAGCCCCACCCACCCACCCCATCTCAATTGTGATAAATTTTTCATTCATCAGACCGAAGGGCGGAGCTTAATTGCAAAATCCTTATTTCTCTAGAAGAAATTATTATATGAAATATGTTTTTACATCAATATTTCTCTGAAAAATTCTTCTCTTTTTGAAAAGATTTCATATGGCAATTTCTTGTAGACAAATGAGGATGTTTCAAACTAAACTTCGTCCTTCAGCTCATGATGAATAAAATATTCATCACAATCGAGAAGGGGTGTGTGGGCGGGGCTTATATTTTGTCCATTTTTTCTTAATATATGAAGTTTTTTTCCTAACAAGAAACTGACAACATGTTTAACTATTTTGTTGTTGAAAGAAAACTCTGAACATTAAAAAAAAAAAAATTAAGCTCCACCCACCCGTCCCATCTCAATTGTGATGAATTTTTCATTCCTAATCAGACCGAAGGGCGGAGTTTAACTGCAAAATCCTCATTTCTCTACAAGAAATTATCATATGAAATATGTTTTTACATCAATATTTCTCTGAAAAATTCTACATTTTTAAAAACATTCATATGGCAGTTTCTTGTAGAGAAGTGAGGATGGTGCAGACTAAACTTCGCCCTTCAGCTCATGATGAATAAAATATTCATACAAACAATAAAAATTAAGCCCCACCGACCCACGAAGTTTAGTTTGCAACATCCTCATTTCTCGACAAGAAATTGCCATATGAAATCTTTTCAAAAAGAGAAGAATTTTTCAGAGAAATATTGATGTAAAAACATATTTCATATGATAATTTCTTCTAGAGAAATAAGGATTTTGCAATTAAGCTCCGGCCTTCGGTCTGATTTCGAATGAAAAATTCATCACAATTGAGATGGGGCTGGTGGGTGGGGCTTAATTTTTGTTTTGTTTTTTTTTAATATGTAGAGTTTTCTTTCAACAACAAAATAGTAAACATGTTATCAGTTTCTTGTTAGGAAAAGAAGACTTCGTATATTAAGAAAAAAATAGCCAACTCCTTATTTCTGTACACGAAATAAGAAACATGTTTTTGAGTATCGTGTTGTTCAAAGAATACTATGTATATTAAGAAAAAAACAAGCCAAAAATTAAGCCCCACCCATATCTATTCTAAGATCAATTGTGATGAATTTTTCATTCGTTGTCAGACCGAAGGGCGGAGCTTAATTGCAAAATCGATACTTTCCTACAAAAATTTACTACACTACACATATTAAGAAAAAAAAAAGGCAAAATATAAGCTCTGGTAGTTATAATACCTAATCTGTTTTTGAAACGAATATGTAGCAATAAATTTTGTGGATTTAAATGTCGACAACTATCTTTAACAATCCACAAGTACTGACACAAAGCTACAGTGTAGAAAATTATGGCAGCTCTTTAAAATATGAGGGTTTCGGTGAACAGGTAATTTATTGCTTAATATTAGTGGATTTCATTACCTCTATCAAAATTTGATTTTCGTGAAATTAGTTCTGTCAACCAGAAAATGTCCCCCCCTAATTCAGGGAATTTTCCTTCAAGTTGACGGCACTGCACACTACCGTAATTTGATTGGTTGAAAACCCAACGTCAACGGCAACGTAACCACAAAAGGTAAAGTGGGATTTATAAACTTGCTGTTGACATTGATTTTACCGTTGCATTTGCTGTTCCCACTGACGTTGCTTATAGAGCTGAAAAATGTCATTTATGGACTCCGTTGCCAAGTTACCGTTGATAGCAACTTTGATGTTCAACTTTTGCCATATCTAAAGGGGTTGTAGAAGAAAAGTGGAGGATTTAAGTTGATTATTTCAAAAATTTACCATTTTAGACATTTAAGTTTCTTGTTGTCGAAAAAAGTCTACACATGTTAAGAAAAAAAGGGCAAAATGTAGCTCCGCCCACCCACCCTATCTCAATTGTGAGGAATTTTTTTAATCGTCGTGAGCCAAGGGCGCACAGCTTAACTGCAAAATCCTTATTTCTTTACGGGAAATTAAAAACATGGTTTTGTGTATCGTGTTGGTCAAAGAATACTACGTATATTAAGAAAAATAAAGCCAAAGATTAGACCCCACCCATACCTTCCCCACTCTCAGTTCTCACTTGTGATGAATTTTTCATTCGTTGTCAGATCGAGGGGCGGGGCTTAATTGCAAGATTGTCTAGAAGAATTAAAAATTTGAAACATGTTTTAAGTTTCTTGTTCTGAAAAGACGACTACGTATATTAAGAAAAAAGGCAAAATATAAGCCCCGCCCACCCGTCCTCTCCCAATTGTGATGATTTTTTTTTAATCGTCGGAAGCCAAAGTAGCAGAATGGAACTGCAAAATCCTTATTACTTCTCTACAAGAAATTACCATGTAAGACATATTTTTGAGTAACGTGTTATTAAGCATACTAGGTATATTAAAAAAAAAATGAAAGCCAAAGATTAAGCCCCATCCATACCTGCCCTGATCTAAATAGTATCTATCTAATATCTAAATCATCACAATTGAGATGGGATGGATGGGGGGAGGGGTTAACATTTTGCTTTTTTTTTAATGTACATAGTGTTCTTTGAGCAACATGATATTCAAAAACATGTTTTTAATTTCTTGTAAAGATTCTTATAGATTCGCATCAATACACTTGATTTGTCAAAATTTTGAAGCTTGAAGCTGCATTTAAGTGTCAAAAGAAAGTGAAACAAGTGATAGACACAGAGTTCTAGATGTAATGAACATTTACTTGACGCTGTTTATGTATAATAAGTGACATTATGATGTTAACCTAAACCTATCAGAAATATACGTGGTACAGTTTCGGCCAGAAAATCTTGGGCAGTATTGTCATTCCAATGACAGAAGCTCTAAAACAGGCTTTACGTACTTATAACCTCAAATTTTCCATATTTGTCATTTTGACGTAGACTGGAATGTGGATGATGACGTATGTCAACATTTATTTTTTAAAAGTGTCAATCATTATGACATTAAAGCATAGACTACATCGTGTTTTTCTTAAATGACAGAAAAATACTGCCCAAGATTTTCTGGCCGAAACTGTAATATGGCTTTAGTGATAAAAGTAACAATTTTAAGTTTTACATGTGTCTGATGAATTTAGAGGTGAAAGTCAGATATTCCAACTGTCTGCACTCCCCTATGTGATAGAGGAGTTCAATTAGCGCAATGAAATGCAACAGGTGGTAAACTTTGAAAAGAAAAAGTACGATATTTGCAATAATAATATAATTAACAAAATATTGTTGCCCACTCATTATCTTTGCGACGCCACTGCTTTAAATCTCCAAGCATCAACCTGTCGCTACCAACCCATAGTCTCAAATCCCCCAAGCGAGTGACATTTGTTATTTGACGTTTCTCCCCTCAACAAAATTTTCATTTTCCAAACGAAAATTCGGACGCAGAGCCGGAATAAAGTTCAGTAAAGGTAAAAACACTCCCAGTAACGACAAATGTTAACTTTGCCATACCCATTTTGTTTAGTAGCGCAGCCTCCATCCCCCTTGTCTAGTCTAGCTCCATCCCCATGGAAGAAGCCGAGCTGACACCGCCCCCGCCGCCGTCCCTCAAAAACAGTTCCTCGTCAAACGACGGCGGCGACTGGACGTGCCCCGAGTGCGGCAACGTGAATTTCGCGCGCAGAAACAGCTGCAATCGGTGTCACAAAAATCGCGGACCTAATGCCGGTGTGAAAAAACGGAAACTGGGACACGAGATCGGCAAAGCGGCGGCCGAGAAAAGCAGGGGGCTGTTCAGCGCGGACGACTGGCAATGCAACAAGTGTGGGAACGTGAACTGGGCTCGGAGGCAGCAGTGTAATGTTTGTAACGCTCCGAAGTTTGGGGAGGTGGAGGAAAGGACGGGCTTTGGCGGGGGGTATAACGATCGGGGGGTGGTGGAGTACAAGGAACACGAGGAGTCGGACGATGAATACGACGAGTTCGGGAGGAGGAAAAGAAAGAGAGACGGGGAGAAAAGTGACAGAAGTGACAGAAGTGAGAGGAAGGAGGTGGATGAAGAAGAGGAGGAGGAGGAAGAGGAAGAGGAGGACGACGATGGGGATGGGGATCTGTCCAAGTATGATTTGTCAGATTGGGGGGATGCGGGGGAGGCGAATAATAAAGAGAACCGCGAAAGATCGCGGTCGAGGTCTCCGCATGAAAAGAAGAAGAATTAGTGGAAAGCGGATGCTGATTAGAGACTTATAGGTTATAACCGCGGCTTTGTATTGTGAATAATCCAAGATAGGGTTAATAGGACATTAATTAATGGTGGTGTTTTTACCACTGTTGAAGTAACAAATTTCATAGTTTGTTAGTTATATTTATTACTGTCCAGTTTAAGAAAAACAACAGCTGTCAATTCTCTTTAAACAAGCATGTACAAAATTTATTTTTACTAATTTTGGAGACACTCAGGCCTGTTTAATGTGGCACTAAATTTAAATCTAAATTTAGAGTAGGTGCAACTTGCATCATGGAAACAAGAAAAACCACCTCATTCTAAATATAAAACAGTGATTTTCTAAGACAATTTTTTTTTGTTTCCGTACATTCATTTTAAATTTAATTTTAAATGTAGTGTTTCAAACGGGCCTTAATGGTCGGAGAAATGTGGACGATGTTATATTTAAATATCCACTAATGTTACGTTAACATGATGTTAAACGACAACGAAGTGTCTACTAAACACTTGACGTCATGTTACATGATTTCAGAGCGCTTAAATTATGGATTACTTCAGATGCTAAGGTATTTTTCTGACTATGAGAGTTTTTAGAATCTATTTTTTATTGACTTAAATATTTTCTGTATTATAGGAATAATTCCCATTTGTATTGTCTTGTTTCAGTGGATCCAATTTTCACAGTTTTGGCCATTCTCCTCCCATATGCACTTATGTATGTTAAAAAGAAGTAAATAAAGATAATAGAAATTTTTGTTAGTGTATTAATTCATTGTCATAAGTTACACAAAAAATTTCAGTGATATATTTTTCGATTAAATTAAAACAATATATTAAAAGGGAAATGGCGGATGCGCCGGGCATAAACAACTGCTTTTTATAGAAGTTCTTTCGATTTCGAAATGTAAGAATTACACATTATTGCGTATTTTTTAAAAATAACTAAGTAATGAGTAATAATAATGACAACATTACTGTTCTTATTATCAAAATATTAGAAAAATTCAATTCTGAGAATTATCTTTTTGTACGTGAATTACGAATATTTGTTTTCTTTAAAATTTTCCTCAGAAAATACTTGAGACTTTAATCGACCAGATTAAGACAGATAAGCAGAAGACATTTATTTAAAGCAAAATTTCACAAAATATGTCATGACTCATGACTCATGAGTCATAGGTCGAGGGACATATTTTCAAGATATTATCTTTTGATTTATTAGCTGCATAAATATAACAAAATATTTACGACGTAACCAAAAATTGCCTTGTTAGATAACGAAATAGCTCTTGTCAAACTGATGACAAAATTGGAGTTTGGATATATGGATTGCAGAATTTTATTTTTGTTTCGTGAGTAATGTTTTGGGATTATTTTTTATTCCATTGTAAATATTTCTTTGCCCCTTCAAGCTAGTTCAACAAAAACAATTTGCTAAAGGATTAATTTCATCAAATATATTTTTCTTTGTAAGATACCAAGAATTTGTTCAATATCGCTTCGTCAGATTTTTTGGTATTCTTTGATGTACCTACCGTTTTAAATTTTTGTTGCAAAATCTGTTTTATCAAATCGTTTCACTGTGAAAAGAATAACGTGAGAATGATACCACAGTAGATTGTTATCTATGCTGTGATGATACTTTTATGACACCATCAACAAGTAGTTGCGGATTTACGTGTTACATACCTACTAAGTTGTTGTCCTGTCTACCCGTGACTTGTTAAATTGAGGAAATAAATTTCATTCAGACATCGTTCATTTATAAAAAAAGAATTCTATTTGTTAAACGATTCCGTCAAATTTTGACGCTTTTATGCCAAAACTAGATGAATAAAGCGCATCTGAATATTATCTTAGTTAGGATTTCGCCAGAGGTTGTTTTCATTTATTTAACTGTGAATATTTAAAATCTCGTTTCATTGGTTTTAATTTGAAAAATTAAAACACTTGATTGCTTTGTATATGAAGGAAATAACTTATTAAATAAATCAGTTCCTATATTAACACTTTGTAAACAGTTCTAAAAATAAAAACATATTCACGCACGAACAGTATCACGTCTTAGGGTGCATTTTTCGATAAAAATTCTTTGTTTAATATTTTTGGAGATAACGTAATCACCTTTTTGAGTAGGAAAAAATCTGTCATGCAATTAATTTCTCATATAAACTACAAAATTCGATGATTTAGAGGTATTTTTTCTCTAGCAAAAATGTAAATAGTGTCAGATATAAATACAGGTTTACGTAACTGTAAAATTACGTCAAATGAAAATAGTTAAAATGACGTTGCTAGTTTACATTGATCGAAACTTTAGATCGTAAGCTACGATATACTAGTTTTCTAATTATATACTTACGTGTTTTATAAACAATTATTTAAAGTTTATAGAAGTTGCGTAGATGAATATTTTTTGTTCTGAAAGAAAATTTTGAGAACCCTAGTTTTTAAACATTCTTTAATAATAAATAATTAGAGTTGTGACTTATTTAAGAGATCGACGTGATTGTCAGGAGGTCAGGATACCCATCACAGCATCTTTATTTATTTACAGATGTTTAAAATATATCATGCAAATTTAAATTCCTCCATAATTATAGTTAGTATACCTACGTACTGAAGACGTTTGTTATGAAGTGTTAAAATTATCAAAATCTAGATTTGGTATCACTTTGTTAAATTTTGTAACAAAATTACAAATCATTTAAGAAACTAATAAACTAATCAAAGTTTACCTAAAATGTAAAATTTGTCAAAGATAGCCATGGATTTTGAAAGTTGTCTCTTTTCAAATTGACGGTAATTAGACAAGATCAAATTTTATCAAAGACAAATCTTTAAAAATTCGTAGCTGTCTTTGATTGTGTTTTTTATTGCTCTGTATTGAATTAAAATTTAATGTAACATTAACTCGTGAATTTGAGCTTCAAACTGATTGAATTTGATCACGTGATCAGTTAATTGCGTGATTAAATTAAAGTGCTTCTCTAGTGTTTGAGGTTAAGATTCTACTGCGATATTGTGATATATTGCTTTTCAAAATTTTCTAACGCTATTAGATGATTTGTTTGTATTAATCTAAAATTAATTAGTTTTGACATGCAAATACATGTATTATTTTCGTGCTAATAATTATTATTAAATTAATTATTACAAAATGGTAAATGGTGGATGCGCCGGGGTAGGTTAAATTAAATATTACTCTATCATTTAGAACTTACCTGAAATATTGATAATAAAATTAAAAATTATGTAACAAAATACACACTGAGATTTCTCGTGTTTCAACAATTATGACTTGTTACATTTTCTTCAAAGTTTTAACTTTGTATGTTAAAAAAAATAATAAGATTGTTCCGCTGACCATAAGTGGAATAATCTTATTATAAGCGGATTTTAGGCTATAAAAAAAATTAAAATAGGTCGTAAATTAGGCTAATTAAAAATAGAAAAAGGCTTCAAAAAAAAAGACAAAACAAGAATTTTAGACAATTATTTTTTATTTATATTATATAACTAATGATGTTGTTTGTTTTTACTTCTTTACAATATGTTGTAGTACGTCCATCCGGCGAATGGCAGCTTCGTATTTTCTCGACATTTCTCTTGTAAGTACCGCTCTCTAGTGATGAAACATCCTATATTTGTTCAACGTTTCAAAACTATGAAATTAAAAATATTATTGTAAATAATAAAATAATTAGTTCAAATGGAACAAAATTTACTCTTTTTCTAATTTAATCTTTCATGGTTTAGAGTATGTTCGAAAAAAATGGACAAGATGATGTACAAAACTGCAACGTTTATTAGAAATAGTATTATACATAGTTAGGTCCTTAAATTTCATAGAAAAATGTATAGTGTCTAGATGTAAATAACGACTTTTTTCATTTTAACTGTAAAATCAAACTCACACAAGGAAGCCTTTTCTTTTGTGTTTTTTCTATTTTTAAAGAATAAAAAATAAATTACACTTTATTTACATTTAGGAAAAATGTACTGACTTAATAATAAATAATAATAATAATAATATAATACTTAGCTGTGTATGTATTTTATAATGCACCTTGCTTATAAATAGACAGAACCACTGAAAAACAGAAATAACAACAGTTCCAGTAAACTGTTGTTAATAGTTATTTATGTTACAAGGTTTAAAAGCTTGACGCATAGCAGGATGAATGTAAATGCGACGTAAGACCTATTGATCGAGGGATGCATGGAAGTGAGTCATGCTATGCGACTGTCAGCGGAAAACTAAGTGCTTGTTTTATTTGAACCAATCACTTGACTATTTTTTTTACTGTAATAAAAGACTTTCAGTCATAACACAGGAATCATGCTTTTTCGTCGTTGTTTTCCATGTATTACAAACAAATAATGCAATTTTTGGCTATGACAACAGAAGATATAATTTATATTGCTATATTTAGTCGCGCTTAGATGACACGCTGCCCGTTTTAAGTTGGTCAGTTTCCATGTACTGCTGCAATCATAGAAAATGTTAATTTTAAAAAAGTTTACCATACTTCAGATTTCAGATGGCCTGTGGACACAAAAATGTTACGAAAAGATAAAATACGAACTAGAAATACGTTCGATAGGTAAATTTCGGAGCCGTATAATTCACACTCCCATTCATAAATGCTAAACCGTCTCAATTCGAAAAAACACCACTTGGGTCATCTTCCATGTTCTAACGGCTCGATACTCGACTCACGCCTTAGATGCCCTGCAGACTCGGATACACTAACTCCAGACAGAAGTCAGTTTTCTCGTCTCGCTGAGTTTTCTAGACAAGTTCTGAGCATATGGGTCAGACGGACACACCCAGATCAGACTAAATCGTTTCAGATTCCAAAAAGAAGACGATTTAGGTCAGTTTCAATGTTAACTTGAAGTAAATTAGTCAGAATTCATCTGAAAAAACATTTGATTTTGTAATCTTTTACTTAATTTACAGTCGTGTCCGATATTGATCTTGTTCATAGTGACTAAATATGGCTGACAGACATTTTATTGACCATAGCTGAAAAGGTAATCTGTTTTTTAGTCATACCACCTGTTCACGAGACACGTAATAAATTCTTGTGTCATACAAAATATATTACTTGAAATGGTATATATCTTCGTTCTAAATCGGAGAAATAAATTGGATGATTTTAATTGCCGTAGTAAGATTGTTATTTATTCGTTCTTGTACATCGATTTGTTGTACCAAAAAACTACAACAGGAACATTACGTAATACGTATGTGTGAGGCATGAAATGATTTATTGTTGGAAAATGCGTAGATGTTTGTTTACTTTTTTAGGTCCGATGATTTAGTAACTCTAGATCTTTGTTGATCAAAGTTTGATTTTTTTTTTATATGATTGTAATTTTTAACGGTACCTCTTTTAATTTTCAGAGATTACATAATAAACTTCTTCCATTTTTAATAACATACTATCTTTTAATCGGGGATTACAGGACATTAACTATAATTAATTTATTCCCTTTCAGAAAATAGCTGACGTCATCTAAAAACTGTCAAGTCATATGCAAATTCGGTCGATTTCAGTAAAAAATTTAATGTTTATCTTATCGACAAAGTTATATATTGTCGTCGACTTAGTATTTATTTAAGTACTACTATTATTCATGATAAAATATTGCACTTTATTGCTTTAATACACAAATAACTCTTACAGCTCTTAGAAAACGATAATTAAAAAAATTAGAACCAGGCCGCAGGATCGTCAACCTTTCGCGGAGATAAACTCGTCCTCGCCTCGAAATAAAAAACTTTGTTTTCGAATTTGCCATCTGGACTCTCATTCAATCTGCGAAACATTGAAACTCCAGTATCGAGCCACAATCCCACTCCATTGAAACTAATGAATCACCCGCCAATAGATTGATGCTCGTGCGGCCTTTAAATAGCCCATGATGTTAAGAGCCGGCGTCGCGACGCCTCATCATCGCCCTTAAACCGTTTAAAATTATTGGCCCACCTCAGACATCTCAATCCGTCGAAATCACCGATAATCATAAGCAGCACACTCGAACGTTATTAAAAGAATGAAAAGAGCGTCCGTCCGAACGCTCGTCGGTGAGCGTCGCGATGCCAAATCTAAAATTAAATCGGTTAAGAAGGGGGTAACGTACAGCTTTGGCTAGTATATGTCTAGATTTTGCAGTTTTTGGTGTTGCCCACGACGGGACACATCCGTGTGTTCAGCGACGACTTTGACGGTAATTTTGACGTTCTGAAACAGTGATTGTGGTTTTTGGGGTTCTGGGTGCGGAAAAGTGGCGACGAGGTGGTCAGAGACGGTGGATTATTTATAAAATCTTGACATAATATTGCAAAAATACGATTTTCGAGAGTTCAGAAATAGAGGATGCGAGCTAAAAATATGGAGACATAGTTGAAAATAATTTTTGAGATGAAGTGGGCGAATGGTCGTCGCTTTTACGTTGGCGACATGAACGATGGAGTGCAGGAGAAAACGGGTTTTAGAAATTTTTGATTTTTTTTATTTTTCTGAAAAGCGTAGTGGAGCGAAATTTTCCAAAACTCGTTATTCTAGTAATTAAAAAACGTCGTGTTTATTTTTAGGACGCTAATTGAATGAAAGATAGATTATTTGTCAAAAGAACGATAAAAATACAGTAAATGTCGGGAAAAATTTATTGTTTCCACAGAAGCTGATACGTTATTTTCCAATTTGGATACTTTAAATGCCCTATTTTTGACTCGATTTATTGTTCGTTCTATTTGTTTACTTAAGTTTGTTAAAAAAAATTGAGCTTGAGACAAGGTGTCTAGGATATTAGAGGTTGGCTCATTTGATTGAATTCATTAGGAGAGTAATAGAATGCAAATTTTTTATTAACTAAAGTGACAAAATCATGACTGTATTCTGTTAATAAAAAATCATAAACATTTGATTTAGAATTCCAGAAGTTCGTGTTTTTTTCACGTTTGAAATCTCATAATTATCACATATTTCTAGTCAGATAAAATATTTCTAAAACTGTCAGTTTAAATTTTCTCGATTTCATATTTCTAAGTTTTTCTGTAGTATCTAACTTGGCAGTTACACAGTTATTTTGATGTTTTAGTTGATAAATTATACGATTAGGTAAATGTACGTGGGAAAGTTGAACACCTTCCAGACTCCAAATTTTCAAAAATGCAGAAAAACACGACCGTAAAAAAGTCGGCAATTCGATTATTTAATACAATAAAAAAATAGCTTAAGCCTAGCCGTAAAAAAGCAATTTTTAGAAAATTTCATCCGTGCCGCCTCCGCGGCCACCGTATAAATTTAAATTTAATTGCCTAAAGTTAAATCGACTTGTCGTAAATTTCACAGAACAACACGACCCAACAGTCACAATTTAAACCGTTCTGCTTAATTTAAAAAACTTGAAAGTAAAATTTTACAATAACCACTAATCAGCTATTTATACTGATTTCATTCCTTCCAGTTCCCAATCAGCTCCTCGAAAAAACAAACTTTTGACTCATACAACCTCCAAATATTTAGACTCCCCTCCTACGTCCACTGTTGATAATTTTTCGCAAAAACCCACTCTATTTTTATTCCATTTGTTAATCGCAGTATTCCACGTACCGAGAACATGAATAAACTCGACAAAACCTAAAAATAGGACGTCTCTGACCTTAATTCCACAACACAGACTTGCACTCGCAAACTTCCCCTCGAAATAAATCGACAAGTTCAAAAACAAATAAATAGAAAACCAAAACCACAAGTCAAAAATCGTCAAAAACCGTCAAAAATCGTTTTTTTCTTCATCAGAACCGATGTCCGTTACTTGTTTGTGAGTGTCTAAATGTCTGGCCACGGGGGCCGCGGTGGGGGCGGCAAATCGCCTCACCATTTCCGCCCGCCGTCCCCGTACACGCATTCGCCGCCCCCGAGACTGGGGAGTCCGGGCATGAATATGTTTGGCAACCGCCTACCGTACATGGCGTGTCCTAGACCCAGATGGCCGACGGCGGTCTCACCGGTACCTCCGGGATTCTCGCCGCCTCCTGGACCCAGACCGTTCAGGATGCCCATGCACCCAGTAAGTAGACTGTGCGTGAAAGGGGGTTTAATTGTTAGATAGTACACAAGCTAACGTACAGAAGACTAAGAGCAGAATAGGGATTTTGGTTTCGGTGGCTTGGTTGCGTTTTTCTTTTAAAGTGTGACGTTTTTCTCTCTTGGTTTGAATTCCGGTGAAGTAAGCTCCTGGAAAATAAAGTTTGAGAGTGGGGCAAGATGTCTACTAGTTAAAGGTGGGCTCGTTTGGTGGAAGTTATATATGTATTATTAAATGTTTACATCATCTTGATTATAACGATAAAATTGGACTCTTTAAGCCCCATTAAATTTTATTATCTAAAGATAATGGGTTTGAGGATAATAAGCTTTTAATAGAACAGTGCATATCGACATTTTTCAGAACGCTATAACATTTTATAGCGCTATTAATAAAGATATAATCTTCATAATATATACAGAAAAAATCGTAACCTAGTTTCGTTTTTTACGTACCTCCGTTCATGTCAGCCAAAAGATTTTTGATGGCGTAAGGAACGTCATACAGTTGACCCGAAATTGCAATCGAACTGGTTTTAGAAGGTCCTCTTATGTAGACAGGGATTAATTGAGTGTCATCCGTATTTGTACCATCAACAAGTGGACAAGATCCAGTGACTACGATCAAAGTATCTCGTTCGTCTGTATTTTCCACCACGTGTTTAATACTTTGCATCAAAGAAGAATATATATCGCAAATTTCGTGCAGACAGCCCCCGATGATTATCATGAGAAAGCCATTTTCGGCACCTTCTTGGACATTGCAAAGGGTTTCTTTCACTAAATCAAAGAGAGAGTTTTCGGAGACTTTTCCGAGTTGATCCATGAGTTGATTTTTTGTGGATTGTGCCCCCCCGTTTTCTGGATTCTTTTCGTCTTCGAAAAGTTTCCCGAAAAAAGTTAGTTTGATGTTTGCCATAATCCCAAAAACGTCCCACTTTGGAGTGGTATCTTCGTCCCCTTGGAAGCTGGGTATTTCTTCAAGAGGGGTTTGACGTTTCGATCTTATTTTGAAAACTTCTGTGTGTTCTGGTTGGGTTATCACATTCGACTGACTTCTAATTTGGTTAATAGGATTGAAGCGAGTTTTGAGACTTCTCGGATGATGGTACCGAATTTCCAGATCTTCAGATGTAGATTTTTTGAATCTAAGTCCATTACTAAAACTGTCGTTTTGTACAGAAGCGATAGCTGTGGTCATGCCCATTACATTCCTACAATAACTGATCAAAGCATAAATTCCAGTTTTGAGTAGCTGCTTGCAGTCACTTTCTAGAGAACTGTAGGAGTTTGCGGACTCGTCTTCGGTACCACTAGGTGGAACGCAATGCTGAAATTGTCGTGCGATTTACATTTACAAAGACGAAAACGGTACCTTCACTCGAGTTTTCTCCACAAAGTTTAAATATTTAATGCCTGAATCTTGCATGTAAGGATCACCAGTCGTCGTCTTGGCCAAGAACAAGACCACGTTAAACTTCCTGTCATTGTTGGCACTAACTACAAAAACAGTTAACCGAGGTACGACTTTGTGTTAAACACTCACAGTCTTCCCCCTTGCGCAAATCTACTAGAATTAGTACTAGAACGAAAATGTGACACTTCGCCATTTTTGTGACGGTTAATCACAGCTTACTTTTTTCTGTTTCAGCCTTCCCCAGCCCCCCGCGGTGCTTCCCCCGAGTACTTCCGCGGTGTCCACCCGTACTCCCCGACTCCCGAACACTTCCGCCCCCACCCCTACTCCCCCGACTTCGGTCCTCCTTCCCGGGAGTTCGAGTACGTGGGCGGACCCCTGGAACCACCCCCTCTACCCCAAAACTACGAACCCGAAGACGAAGAAAGTGGCCCCTCCACCGCCGAAATTATAGCCAATCAGTCGCAAGACTACATCGATGAGAAATTGGCGGAATATCAAGCCACCATCTACCAGTTGCAAGGTAAGAAATCAAAGTCGCTCTGGCAAGGTCTATTTTCGCGGTTGACCGTGCATTACGTAATGCCGATCAGAGATCGAAAAAAATTCAAAAGAGTCTTAAATTGTCTCGTCCACCTTGAAATAGGTTTGTTTTTCGGCGATGCAAATTGAAGACTCGGTGTGTGGGCACGGAATTGCACATCGGTGTCATTATTAAAATCGGGTCTTGATGTAAGGAGGTTGTTAAACTCAATATTTTGAGTTTTGGCAACGGACGAAAGTCTAATTTCGTTGGATACGTGATTGTAAAAGTTTCATTTGCGTAAATATTTAGGGGGAAGCGTGGCACACATGAGCGAGCTGATTCGGCAAAAACGGACTTCGGTACTACCTTGCAAAAAACACATTGTTTTCAATTTAGCCATGAACCCCCGCATCCGAATGTCATTTGGCTAATTTAAGACAAGCTAAAAATCAGAATAATCACGGCAATTACTTTAGATTAGAAATAACACGCCTATGCGTTTGCTTTTCTCAACAACTGAGTAATTTCGTCAGGGTCAAAGATAAATAACTCTCGATTGTCCCGCTGGAAACTTTTCGCTTCTCGTTGCACCCGACGTCAATGTCAAAGTTCGTTTATTATTGACAATGGTCATTTCAATGAGCGTTCCAATTCCCCCACCGCAAAAATCCCGGCGCCAATTTGGATCTGCCTATAATTACCCACCTAATTATTTTTACGTAACACCCAAGCAAAATTAAACTCTAGCACAAAACCGAACGGAATCTCGCATTACCTGGTCATTATCAAGGTAAACACGCAGTTCATGGATCACAGATAATACAAAGTACACGAATATGATCCCCACTCCTAATCGGTTTTTTAATACCATCAGTCACAAACCCTCTATCAGTACGCACGAAACAATGGCCGATACGGTACTGGAAGAATGGCGCGAATTAAGTGAAGACTTTAAAAAGCTGGAAGCAGTGAACAAAATCTATCAAGAAAAGATCGATGAAGTGAATAAGTACCAGAAAGAATGTGAGAAGCAGCTCCAGCATCAAAAGTACCGAATCGCCATTATCACGAAGAACATCCAGAAAAGTGGAACGAAGTACGAAGAACTCAAAGAGGAGATTCTCAAACGTGAGGCACAACTACACGAGATCAAGCAAACGTTGCCGCAGGATAGCGGGAGGTATTTGAAGGTCATTCTGGGGAATGTCAACGTTTCCATTTTAAACAAAGAAGAAAAACTGAAGTACAAAGGCGACTATGAAAAGTTTAAGTTGATTATAAGTGTAGTGGCGTTCGTGCTTGCTATCGTGAATCTGATGTTTATCAGTAGGAGAGTTGAGCGTTTGTACCTCTTTATCTTGGTATGGTATTACTTTACCTTGACGATAAGAGAAACCATACTTCGAGTAAACGGATCCAGAATTAAGGGATGGTGGAGGACTCATCACTTTGTCTCCACAGCGGCAGCAGCAGTTTTATTGATTTGGCCAGAAAGTGAAACTTGGAATCAGTTCAGAGTTGTCTTCATGGCGTTTAACGCATATTTGAGTTTTGTTCAGTTCCTGCAGTTCAGATACCAAAGGGGAGTTTTATACCGACTTAAAGCCCTAGGGGAACGTGATAATATGGATATTACGGTTGAAGGTTTCCACAGATGGATGTGGCAGGGACTTAGTTTCTTGTTTCCGTTTTTGTTTATAGTGTACTTTGTCCAGTTTTACCTAGCTTGTACATTGTACAGTTTAAGTACGATGACGGGTGCAACTTGGCACGTTCCAACTTTATCACTATTGTTTTTCATATTATCAGCTGGAAACATAACGACCATGATAATGATTGTTCCTGATAAGTTTAAAAGAAACGTGAAACTCAAGTACCGGTTGCTGAGCCAACGATTGTGGAATTCTACTGACAATAGTACAAAACAAAATTAAATACAATAAAACAGTTAAACAAAGCTATTTTATTTTTTAATCAATGTTGTCATCACTATTTTCTGTTGTGTTGTTGTTGTCGGGTGGTTCTGTATCTTCTGCGTCTTCAACAGCATCCATATCACAGTCGATCATTTCGTATTCTTCTTCTGGTTTTTCGTCTTTCAATTTCTCCTCCAGTTCGTCTTCTATTCTTTTCAAATCATCATCACTCATTAATTTCATGCTTTCCTGCACCCAGATTTGATCCGACTCTGTTTTAACGTCAAAGCAGAAGTTTCTGACAGCGCTTAGAGTTACCCTAGCCCTTTCTTGAACGTTTTTGATAGGGTCATCCATCAAATCTTTGATTACTTTAAGAAAATCTTTCACGAGCATCACAAGAACACCTTCTAAGTAGCAGTCTTCCAAGTTTTCAGGACTAACAGAAAATATCGTCGTCTGTTGCTCTTTTCTTAAATTATCTAGAGTGTCTTCTGCGTAAAAGTTTAAATTGTCAGTTATACTTATATCCTCGTCTATTTCCTCCTCATCGGAAAGTTCTTCTGTCAATTTTTGGTTGAGTTTCACAATTTTGACCAAAGTTTCGACGGCTTGTTTTGATTTTAATTCAGTGAAATCCACCAAGTACTTTCCTTGTTTTTCGTCGATATCTCTTTGACAGTCTAAAGTGGGTGAAATCAATTCTTCTATAGCAAACAAAGTAATGTATCGGAACATGTATCTCTGGTCTGTTGAAAAGGGTACAAAAATCGGAACCAGGGAGTTTATGGCCCAATCGGTTCCAAACTGTTTGACCAACAGTGGCAGAATAACAGGTGCGGTCCTTCTGATTGCGTAAATATTGTCGTTTAGTAGCAACCTGTAGAAGAATTTTAAATTCTGGTCGAAAAATTCGCTGGTGGTGTTTCTGGTGATGTGCATGAAAGCCAAAAGGAGGTTTCTCCGGGTTCTCCAGTGCATTTGTGAATTCTCTATCAAATTTTGAATGACGCTTTTGATTGACTTCAAGGATTTCGTTATATCTACGTCTGTGGGAAGTGAACTTAAATTCTTCAACATGTTTTCTTTGAAGGGCATGAACTCCTCGTTCTCCAGTGCGTCAATAACCAACGGCAGAATGTTGGCATTGAAGCATTCGTTTCTTAAAATCGCACTCAACGAAAGTATATTTGTCGACAACGCAACTCGAACGTCGTCGCTGGGATCTCTAAGCAACAAATGTACTTCCGGAATAATATTCTCCTCGAAATTTTTCTCGAAGATGTCTTGGAATTCGTTTTGCTCGTTCTTGTAACTATCCATTAGGTTAATCGCCAAGTTGTACACATTCTTTGCTGCGAAAACTCGAACTTCGGATTCGTCATCTCTTACACATTTGGAGTAGATGTTGATGATTTCGTCACGATTTTTCTCTGTTGTTTGGATTTCGTGGATTTTCCAAGCTACTCTTTGACGCACTCTCCATGAACTATCCTCACTCAACGTTTTGAAGGTTCGCAGTAAGTACTCGTAGACTTCGAAGTCTTTAAGTCTTTTGGAAATGGCAACGCCGACATCGACTGCTAGAGTTCGGACGGAATCCTACAATTTGTGTTCAGTCAAAGAAGATACAACATGTGAAACTTACTTGTTCGTCTTGTGCTAGATTATCAAAAATTGGTACGAACTCGGATATGATTTCTTCTACGTTTATTAGTGGTATGAACTCGACCAAGCTTGTAGCAGTCGATCGTCGTACCATAGGTGCTTCGTCTTGTATCAAATTCCGGAAATAATTCCTCAGCTCGGTTTGCTTTTCAAGTGACATCTTCGCGTAGCAAATCTAGAAGAACAAGTTTAGATTGTAGTAGTACTGAGAGTACGACCTACAGCTATCAGACACCCTGCTGAGCACTTGGTGGTGAACCAGTCGCTCTTGATCATCCTCTCAATCGCCGAATAGAAAGAATTCTCGCACTGCTCGTTATCCAGTACCTCGCAAATCTTCTTCATCGATTCGACGGCTTTGTCCCTCACGATGACCTCATCTTCACAAGCCAGCTTCACCAGGATGTCCAAAAGGATCCCCACGTGATCGTTTCCCCCCACGAACGGAACCAAGCGTTCCAATTGTTCCGCCAAATTGAAACACGACTCTTCCGGCATGGCATCGACGCAGTTGACTAAACAAGGTATCAGTTCTTCGCGCGTACGTTCCGCGTCCATGGCCGCCGCTAGCGATGGCAGTCGCTTGATAGCGTCCACTTGAACCTACAAGACACGTCAGAAATTTCTTTTCGATTAGAGTTTGCATTACCGATATGTTATCGTCCATAAGGGCATCTTTGAACACCCCGATTTCGTAACTGCTCTGCGAATCGACCATTTTACGCCTTTTCGTGCATGGGTGAAGTCACTGAAGGTGTTTATGGGAAGATATATTATCTTATCAATCACGGATAAGATAGGGTTTTTCACGCGGTGGTAGAGGTGCGGCAGAGGCGGCAATTTTTTTGAACGGACAACCGCTTTAGTTCCGCTTTCAAGGTAATAAATTAGAGGTGAAAGTAAGAGACGGGATTAGATGGCTGTCTGATGTTATTAATGTTCATTGCATTTGCTTATTTAATTTTAATTATGTAAGAGCTGGTGGGAGCGGGACGGATGCGGCACTTGTCATTTGTAAATATTGGATTTTCAGCTGCTAAAACTTGTCGCTTGTCAAATGGGAAACGATCTATTTTCGGGATTTGGTTTTGTTTAATGTTTCACAATGATTGGGTAGGCTTTAGATGTAGTGGTTAATGGAGTTTCGCAGGGATTCGGATTGGGACACGTGTTATTTTAATGAAATGTTCAGCCGATGATTAATGCTAGACTGTTTATTGTAGTTTGAAGTCGTTTCTGTTATTACTAAAATAAAATAACCACAAGGAAACAACAAATGACTGAAATGGCTCGGAGGTTGTATAAAATTTACAAAATTAGAATAATTACATAACATATGTCTACTAATCTACTATTTTAAAACTGATTTAACGGTAAGTGTCTTATGGTAATGTTCGAGTTTGTCTGCCAAATGAGCGCTGTTTTGAGAAATGTAAACATTAAAAAAGCGCTTTACCATTAGTTACAGAAAAAAAAAATGTAAAGTTGTTGAGACAGAACTTCGCCTTCGATGCGCAACAGATAGTGCATCATGCATATCAGAATTTACGTTTCAATGAAGATTGATTTAATGATTTTGTTGAAACGATGTCATTAACTTTTTGAGCGAAAAATCTATTAACTTTGATATGTACAGTGTAATAATAAACATACGTTTGTGTTTTCAGTAATTCAGGAAAATAGATGAGGCATTTCTAAAATAATCAAATCTGTTCATAATTTAAGTTTTTTAGAAGCACGTTTAGATAATAATTTGTTGGTCATAAATCAGTTGTTGTGCCTATTAGAACTTTTATAAGATAAATTATAAAATTGAACTGTAAAAGTATTAGTTTTACAATTCATTTTTCAAAAAAAAAACTCACACACTCACTACTTAATCTAATCAAAGGTGATGTAATTCAAAATTTATGGAAACATAAATATATAAACTATATATATTATCGTATTCCTTTCCGCGAATGTGCACAATCAGAAATATTGTTTGTGTCAGAGAACTTTCCATGTGAATTTGATGAAAAATCAATATTTTTTTCTCTGTTTTTAATAAAGTTTGTATTCTATAGGGTGGCGAACAATTTATTTTCCACGCTTTTAGTCTTGTAAATGGCAAGATATATATCGTATTAATTTTTTTTTTAAATAGTTTCAGTGGTTTCAGAGTTATTCAAAAACATTAAATTGCTGGAAGAAACCTCGTAGACTCTGAATAATGATTACTGTTTAAATATGTTTTTATATACGTAGGTTTTTGAATTTTCAAAACATTACAGCTTACAGCCAAACATATTTGTTTATTAATTTTTTTTTTCAAATATGGTAAGATAAATTATTAACAGATCTTAAATTCCCTAAATTTGTTAGATATATGCATACCTTAGTAGTGGCAAAATTGAAAGGTCCATTACAAAAATAAAGTTAAAATTTATAATTTCAAAATCTCTCAGTTAGAATTTTATTATTAAAAATGAACGTTAATTCTACTTTATCACTCATCATAAAATCACTCCATTTTATTCTAATTTAACCAGCCTTTTACACCGTTTTTGTGCATATAGGTATATGTATATATAAATACAAGGTTTTTAATTTCAAATGATTTACTAAAATTACATCGAACCGACCACCTGCACATAAACTAAGTTATATGATATACAAAGAATGTTTCCATCACAACATTGTTTCTGAATATTTTTTTCTATTAAATTCTAAGGAGGCTGTCTGACACTTTGCCACCATGTCATATTTGTGCAACGTATCTAGTCATCTTTTTCATAAAAACTAATCTAGTTCGTATCTTTTACACTTACCAAGGTGATAAAGGTGTGAAAAAGTAAAGGCATCAACGAGTATGAAAACAAAAGTGTCTACAACAACTGTCGTGAAACGTAAAACTGGTAGTACGAAATAGTATATATAGCCTGAGAAATGGTTTCAAATGATTGAAAGAATGCTAGTGCCATTTTCTGAACGTACACATAATGTATGTAAATATATAGGTTATTTCACCTCCATTGATTTGTCAATATTGAGTCACAACTACCAGTGCAGAAAATACTAATGTTTGCAAAGAAAAATAGGAAAAAGTTAGTCAGATTTTCTATCTAACCAACAATAATACAATTAATTTTATTTGAATCGTTTCAGCACGCCAATTAAATCATTTTCAGGAAATATATTGAAAAAATTTTAAGGATCTATAGGGAGAGGCGAAAAAAACTGAAAGCAACACATAAGTTCTAGTGTTTTAGTTTTGTCATTCATCTGAAGATTTAACTAATTAGACCTGAAGTTGCTTTTGTGCACGATAATATACCGGATGTCCCAGTTTGCCTGTTCCATAATATTTCAACGACTTCCAAAGTTAAAAATAAATTGTTTATAAATTTAGGTAATAAACAATTGTGAACATGAGACTATTAGCGAAATTTAAAAAATCGGCAAATCAATAGAGCTAAACTTTTTGTAGGCCAACTACGATGTAAGAAACATTTATAATAATATCAAATTTATATATTTAGTGGTAATGTAAAAAAAAAAATGGATAAAGACCGACAGACAGACGGAAACGGGAGACCACTTTTTCGTACTCTATTACTCGATTACTATACTTCCTTAGCTTACGCTCGGAAAGTAAAAAACCTAATTTGTATCATACATGCTACATAGAGTAGAAACTTTGTCAAATATTTCTTGGTTGGAGAACTTCAGCAGAAATTCTAATTTTGGGCCGATACTGGCTGAAGCCGAAACCGAACTTTCGGTCAAACACTAACTGGTTCTACGTAAAGAACTCGAAAGTTTATAACCCACTTCGCGCTCAGCTGAAAGCGCATAATGCCCACAGAAATTTCTCTACAGTGTTGCCATTTCATTAAAGCCACATCGAATTTTCGAAGAAGGGGCTTTATTTCCATAAATCAGCTGAAGTTAAAATTTGATATATTTATTTGATTGCATTAAAACAATATGGTAAATAATAATTAATGTTAGGTACTTAATTATTAAACGTAAACTAAAGAATGCACTGGGTCACTTGGCAAATGTCTGATTTCGTGTTTTCGCAGTGTTTCAAAGCTTATAAATCTACTTGTGGCTGAATTAGACACACAAATTTACGATTCATGTAAATTTTACTGGCATTGTTTTAATTTTTTTCGTAAGGTGTTAACGAATTACGGAATATTAATAAAATTTTCTTTTATCGTTTGTGTAAAAATTATGATATCGTCTGTAATTTTTATTCGAAAATATCTTTTGAAATTTAGTCTTGCTGTATGTACTTTATTCAAATGCTTTTAGTTTTTATAGCTGTTCATCAAACACAAAAATGACAGTGATCTTAAATTTTTTAGAACTGCTTATTCATTGTATACCGGGTGTCTGGAAAATTGGGGATTAACTCTTCAGTACGTTATGTATGGGACTTTCGGGAGTTCCAAAAAAATAATAGAAACATTCTTTATGATGTAGATTACGAAAAAAGGTGACTGAAATCCACCTTTTATTTTTTTTAAGACAATAACCATAACAACCAGTAGTCATTAAACGTTATGTTTATTATTAATAAAGCAAGCTATGTATTATTTTTCATTAATTAGACATTGATAAATTATAAACAAAAACAAGACCAACAAAAGAAAAATCCATTAAAGCATAAATAACTAAACACTAGAGAAGATGTTCAAAATTCCTGCCTTGTGCATATAAGTAAGTTCGTAATGTTTCGAAATTTTTATACTTCTAATTTTTTGTAAAAGTTAATCGTCAGTACTTTCTAAAATAAAACTGATTTTGGCAAGACATACCCTACAAAAAAAGAGAGGGTGGGTGGGCGGGGCTAGTAGCTGCCAAGATAAGACTGATTTTGGCAACTGAGATATCCTCTAAGCGAAGAGAGAGCGGGTGGGCGGGGCTAGTACATACCTACTAATATAAGATTGATTTTGGCAAATGACATACTCTCTAAGAAAAGAGAGGATGGGTGCGCGGGGCTACTACCTGTTAAGACTGATTTTGGCAAATGACATTCTCTAAGAAACTAGAGGGCGGGTGGCTGGAGACGGATTTTAGCAAATGACTATCCTCTAAGAAATTTAATTAAATGATCGTAAGAAAAGACACTAGAGGCTCCAAAGCACTTTCAAAATCATTCCAAGCAGGAATACCTAGAAACTCAAGATTGTTTTAAATTATTCAAAAAAAAAACCAGCATCTCAAAATTAACTCAAAAACAGGTCAGGTTCGAATTTTCCAAAAATATAATACCAGAGTCCCCCAAAATTGTTTTAAATAATTTACAAAAAAATCTCCATGGGCTCCCAACATAATATACCATGGGTACTCAAGAGACTCCTGAATTAAAAAAAAAACTGCGCCACTCAAGAGTTTTTCAAATTCATATAAAATAAAACACCAAAAGCTCAAAACATTTTTTCAAGTTCATCCAGCAACAAAACATCAGATTCCTTTAAATTTATTCGAAAATAAAACACCAGGGGACCTAAAATTAACAGCGAACATTCTAAACGTAGGATTTTGAAAACTTTGACAATTTTTGCTACGTCAAATATTTTTAACTGCTTACTCGATTTTTGGTGATTTGTACATTTGCCTTATATTAGGCAATAGTATATTGTTTTATTAGGAGCAAAAATGATATTTTTCGTGGCGAATCTATAGGTTTGACAATTACAGATTTATTTCTCCGAATAAAACATGCTATTTTTCCTTCAAACGTGAAACTGGATCCAATTTATTGGACATAAAAATGTTGTACTATAAAAA